CCTTTCGTAAAGCTCTTGATGTCTTCTCTAAATTCATGGTTTAGAGGGAGGAACTGATCTTTGGTCGAACGATTTAATACTTGCCACCCTTCTTCAACCAAATGAACCTCACGGCTTCCTTGCATACTGGGCATGGGAACTTCCCGTGAACACACCAGGCGGCGAATAACCCATACGCCAGGAAGTCATGCAGGGAGTAGTGGTACCAAACGTGCATTTTAAAGCTTGTCTTTGTAGCTCGATCGTATGTCCATACCCCTTCTCCCAAGCGTGGATCAATTCATCAATCACAGGCTCCATGAACACACCCATATTACTCCCCGGTGTCCAGGAATTATCAACGACAAGAATACGTTATGCCGCTGAAAGGAGATGCCGGAGGGAGATTGAGGGGATAACAAAACGGGCCAGCATGTGTATGGGGCAGCCATCATTCCATAAGGATTGAACCCATCTGTTGCCGGTAGCGACACGTACATTACGAGCCTCACCGCTTTGTCACGATGTTTGTCATTGAAATACGTCCCATGCTTCAAAGATCGACGGATGTACCATCTTCCCAGGATTGTACCATTTGCCATCTTTGTGCCATGTCATCTGTTTCGCGGATTCCTCAGTCATGAATAGCCGTTGGATCCTCGGTAGGAAAGGAAGGTGACGTAGCACTCTCGCGGAGATCGGAAGCTGCTTCTTCTGACCATCACCAGAGTCTACCTCCAGGTACCTGGAGGATTTACACTTCGACAAGAATTTGCATCCTTGTGTTCTTTCCTAAATAGGGCGCACTTTTGGACAAACATGTATCTTGTCATACGGCATCTTAAGCATACGAAGGAGTTTCTCTGCCTCGTACAAGTTCGTCGGCAAAGTGTGCTTCTCCGGTAGCATGGTGCCAAACACGGCCAACATCTTGTCGAAGCCTTCTCGACTCAGGTTTAACTCGTCCTTCAACCCCATTACGCGTCCAATCGCATCTAGCTGAGAAATCATTGTACGCTCGTGAAGGGGTTTCTATGCCGAGTCCAACATTTTGTAGAAGTCCTTCACGGATTCCTCCATCTTCTCCTTCTCACGTCGTTCAGCGAAGTGAGCTTGGTGGGCGTCATCTAGCATGTCTGCTACCCCGGCATCATCATCAAAAGCCTCGAGGCGTGCTCTCACCACCTCCGCTCTTATACGATCTGCTTCACCATGGTAGATCCATCACTTGTAGCCGACGTATAACCATTGAACACAAGATGTCTACCCATGGTCTTCTCGCTCTACTTTTCTCCTATTGTCACATTTGTCTGCGGGGACACCAAACTAGAGAATGTCCTCCCGCCTCGGGCCAAATGCATATTTCAAGAAACCATCTGTCCCCTTCACCCATTCATAGTCGTAGTCACTCCCGCTTCTCCAAATTTCCGTACATCCAATCGACGGTCCTCCACCGACGGTCCTTTAACATTTACAAAGATAGAGTATTGTGACCATCAATTGCATCTACGCGGTGTTCCTACCGCCTAATAGGTGAGGATAGGTCCTAATCCACACCATGATGCATAGATGAGGTCATTTCCATGCTCCGCTCCTCTCCGAGACAGGCAATTTTGGCGGACCTCCCGTTGTTCTCCCGATACACGCCCCGCAAGGGAGAGTGTGTCCCGGAGAACAACAGGAGGTGTTGCCAAACTCTTCTCGGACCAGAGCGGACCATGGAAACTAACCCATCTACGCATCCACGGGCTGTCCAAAAACGTGGACAATCCGAATGAGATACGCCGCATAGATATGCAAAGATCCGCATACCTACGACCGTATCTCTTTCGGACGGGGACGCTTAATCGGGTTACGCGCTGCTACGCGACGCATACATGCGCAAAAAGAGGTTATTTATACCAAGGGTGTCGGTGAAGTAATGCTAGCGGGGTAGTGGCGAATCGACGCAGTGGCGTGCATGGCGACGCAGGCGTGCAGAACATGACGTCGACGAAGACGATCGGGGTCCTCCGGTCCCCTCCGACGTACTCTTCTCCTCGCATAAAAAGACAATAGGTTATTTTTGTTCAAACTTTGGCAGCACCTCCCCCTACACGGGAGGTTTCCAAAACCCGCAAAAAAACCACGATGGTCGACATTCACAACGCACGAAGGCCGACAACCACAACGGCACGAAGGCCCTCATATCAAGTTACGGCACGAAAGGCCCACACAACCACATACTGCACGAAGGCCAACAACGAGAGTTTTACCTAGGGTTGCGGTGGAGTCGGGCGTCATGGTGCGGGGTCACTTTCTTCTCCGGCGAGGTCGAGCGGCGTTGGAGTACTCCTCTCTCCCTCTTCCCTTTCTTATCTCCTTTTCCCCTTCTTCTCCTTCTCTTCCCCTTCCTCCTCCTCTTCTTTTCCTTTTCTTCACCTTCCACCTTCTCCTGCTCTCCTTCTTTCTTCCTCCAACTTCACCCTCTGCCTCCTCCAACAAAGCAATGGCGACGGGGCGGCCTGGGGCTGGGGTCGGGCGGAAAGGCCGGGCGAGGGGGGAGCACGGAGGGCAAGCCCAGGGGTCGAGCTCCCTTGCTCGACGGAGATGGGGAACGGAGGCAGGCGCGACTCGGCCGCCACATCGGGCGTGGGGGCGGTGGGCACGCTGGTGGGGCGGGCGGGCGAGCTGGCGGCCGAGCTGGGCGGGCGGGGGCAAGGCCTGGCTGCCAGCAGCCAAGAATGGGCGGTGGAGGGGCGCGGGACGGAATGGCACGCTGGTGGGGGGGCTGGGCGGCTGGGCTCAGCACCAGCACAGTGAAGGGCAGCAAGCCTGCGTGGCGCGGGCGGCGGTGGACGCGCGGGGGCCGGCCGCGAGCGGGCGCGTGGGGAGGGAGAGGTCGACCGTTTTTTTTCACAATTTCCGATCGGGAATTTGGGCTGCGGCCCGATTTAGGGTTCGGTGCTTTGCCGAGGGCCCAGATCCACGGCCCTCGGCAAAGATTTTTATTTTTATTTTTTTTAATTCTTTGCCGAGGGCCCAGATCCATGGCCCTCGGCAAAGATTTTTTTTTAAATTCTTTGCCGAGGGCCCAGATCCACGGCCCTCGGCAAAGATTTTTTATTTTTTTAAAAAAATTTCTTTGCCGAGGGCCACGGGGCAGGCCCTCGGCAAAGAGCCCTCGGCAATTTTTTTTGGTTTTTTAGCCCAGTTTTTTTGTGGTGCTACAATACATTGTTTTGAACTCAATTTTAAAATTTAGGCCAATTTTGATTTTGTTTTGTATATTTCCTTAATTTATTTTGATTCTTTGATTTTTTTTCGAATATGTCAAATTTGAACTGCAGGTGCATGGAATATTGCAATGTAGTGTTTCGAAAAATGTTATTCATGTTAATTGGTGCATGTTGAGTCCCTATCCACGACCCCCACATGTGGAGATGTCTGGGTTTCAGGCATCCGACGTCGCAACTCGCTCGAAGCCTTCTCAATTTTTTACCACAGCCTACACATGCGATAACATGACATCTCGCCAAGTTTCGTGATTTTCGGACTTCGTATGGATTTTATATAATTTTAAAACACTTTTCCGGCAAGTCGGTCGTCATGTTACGCGAACAAGATGCGTGAAAATTTGATGCAGGGTCGTGGATAGGGACTCAACATGCACCAATTAACATGAATAACATTTTTCGAAACACTACATTGCAATATTCCAAGCACCTGCAGTTCAAATTTGACATATTCGAAAAAAATCAAAGAATCGAAATAAATTAAGGAAATATACAAAACAAAATCAAAATTGGCCTAAATTTTAAAATTGAGTTCAAAACAATGTATTATAGCACCACAAAAAAACTGGGCTAAAAAAACAAAACAAAAAAAATTTGCCGAGGGCCTGCCCCGTGGCCCTCGGCAAAGAATTTTTTAAAAAAAAATAAAAAATCTTTGCCGAGGGCCGTGGATCTGGGCCCTCGGCAAAGAATTTAAAAAAAAAATAAAAAATGTTTGCCGAGGGCCGTGGATCTGGGCCCTCGGCAAAGAATTTAAAAAAAAAATAAAAAATCTTTGCCGAGGGCCTATCCTGGCCCTCGGCAAAGGGCTTCTTTGCCGAGGGCCTAGCCTCGGGCCCTCGGCAAAGGCGATTTATAAAAAAAAAATTTGGCCGAAAAACTGGTTTTAAAAAAAATCTTTGCCGAGGGCCTGGTCTAGGGCCCTCGGCAAAGACTTAAAAAAAATTGCCGAATAACCTGGTTGCACAGGAAAAAAAACCTTTGCCGAGGGCCTAACGGGTGGCCCTCGGCAAAGCTTGACGGGAAATGGCCGCCGTGACCCAACGGGCCTAATTTGCCGAGGACAACTTTGCCGAGGGCCTCGGCCCTCGGCAAAGATTTGATTTGCCGAGGGCCGTACCCTCGGCAAAGGCCTCTTTGCCGAGGGCCGTTCTTTGCCGAGGGCTCTTGTGTCTGGCCCTCGGCAAAGAGTGTCTTTGCCGAGTGCCCGAGATTTGGCCCTCGGCAAATCCTCAGGCCCTCGGCAAAGCACACGTTTCCAGTAGTGATGTGTCAACCAGCAAAAAAAAATGCATTATTAGGTCTTCCACATCATGGCGAGGCAGTGTCTGGAACAATTGGGACCCACAATCTTCTCTCTGCTCGTGGCTCATACTGTGTAATTGAAGGCCTAGGTCCCTTGCAAAAGAAAAGGACAATAGTTAGGTCGGTTTGAAGCTATGCAAACTATCTACTAGGGACTTGCACCCCAAGTCCACATAAACAACTGCCACCGCCTTGTTCCCCTCCTCTCTCCTAACCGGTGATCCCCTATGGACAGAGGTGCGGGGACCCAACCCCTTAGTAGATTTAGGTTTGGTTGATCCTTGTTCATCTACTTGCTCCTTCGTGGTCTACGTGGCTTAATAATGCTAGGGTCTTTATATATGAACAAAAATGAAGCCAAGCTTCCAAAGCAAATCACAGCATTAGTCGTCCGGTGCTTCTGTGAACAGCTAGTTTCCTTTTCATTTCGTGTACTTGGCCATGGGTAGCCTTCCACTGGACGACGCCCTTTTCTCCCTAAACCCGGATACATTCGCCGAGGAATCGACCGCCGTGGTCGACTTCCTCGCCCGCTACTACCGCGACATCGAGCGGTACCCGGTCATGGCCCCCGACGCCAAGCCAGGGTCCATCCGCAAGGTTTTCCCCGACGCGGCGCCCGAGACGGGCGAGTCCATGGACCGAATCCTTGACGACGTGCAGCGGGACGTCCTCCCGGGGCTGACGCACTGGCAGAGCCCCAGCTTCTTCGCCTACTTCCAAGCGAACCCGAGCGGCGCGGGGTTCGCCGGCGAGATGCTGTCGGCCGGCCTCAACGTCGTGCCATTCATGTGGAAGGCGTCGGCCGTGGCCACCGAGCTGGAGCAGGTCGTGGTGGACTGGATGGCCGGGCTCCTCGGACTGCCGGAGCTATTCTGCTTCGCGGGAGGTGGCGGCGGCGTGCTGCACGGGAGCACGTGCGAGGCCGTGGTGTGCACCCTTGCCGCTGCGCGCGACCGTGTGCGATCAGCAGGCTCGGCCATGCTGCCATCCTTAGGATGGTCGTATACGCCTCCGACCAGACCCACGCCACCTTCCAGAAGGGTGCCAGGATCGTCGGCATCCCTCCGGCGAATTTCCGTGTCCTGCACATTATGGCGGAGTCCGGGTACGGCCTGAGTGCGGACACTGTCCGAGCAGCGGTCGAGGAGGACGTCGCCCGTGGACTGGTTCCTCTGTACCTGTGCGCTACCGTCGGCACGCCTGGTCTCGGCGCCATTGACCCAGTCCGCGTCGGCACGACTGGTCTCGGCGCCATTGACCCAGTCCGCGAGCTCGGTCAGGTGGCGCGCTGTTATGGTACGTCCACTCATGCATGTAAGGCGTGCACTGGTCGTACTGATGCACGTACTCACTAGGTCCCTAAAAAAGAGTCGCTACGTGAATCGTGCTGATCAAACTTTCTCAACTTTGACTAGATTTATAAAAAATATGTGCAATATTTATATTTCTAAATAAAATTATTATGAAACTATATTTAACAATCTACCTAATGACACTAATTATGTACCATAAATATTAATATTTTGTTAAATATATTTGATCAAAGTTTACGAGAATGACTCTTTTTTAGGGACAAAGGGAGTATGCGCTAAAATGGAGCACAGCGCAAGTGTTGAAACGATTTCATAGATACTCAGTAACTGTCACCTGACAAGAGACATGATTCTTATAACTATAACATTTCCAACAAATAACAGGAATGTGGCTGCACATCGACGCCGCGTACGCCGGCAGCGCGGCGATTTGCCCAGAGTTCAGGTGTCACCTCGATGGCGCCGAGCTCGCGGACTCGGTGAGCATGAACCCACACAAGTGGTTCCTCACCAACATGGACTGCTGCTGCCTCTGGGTGGCAGACCCGACCGCCCTCACCAGCGCACTGTCCACTGACCCGGAGTACCTCAAGAACGTCGGCAGCGGCGGTGATGTGTCAACCATCGACTACAAGGACTGGCAGATCGCACTGTCACGACGCTTCCGCGCCATCAAGCTCTGGGTGGTGCTGCGGCGCTATGGAGCGGCGGCCATGCGCAACTACATCCGGAGGCATGTTCGGATGGCGGAGTGGTTCGAGCCGAGCTCGCAGTGGTGGCGGACGAGCGCTTCGAAGTCGTGGTGCCGAGGAACTTCTCGCTGGTGTGCTTCCGTCTCCGCCAGCGGCTCGGGATCGATGATGACGCGGTGGATGGTCTGAACCGCCAGCTCCTTGCTGCTGTGAATGCGAGCGGGCGGGAGTTCATGACGCACTTCGTCATGGACAGCAAGTTCGTCATCCGGCTCGCCGTTGGCGGGGCCATGACCGAGATGCGCCATGTCCGGGACGTGTGGGAGCTTCTCAAGGACAAGGCTAATGAATTGGTTGGGGGCTCATGACGGGTAGTGCATGCATGTAGAGCATGCCACGCACTACTTCCGATGTTTTTGGCTTTTTATTTAATATAATATTTTCACTATATATCTGGACATTATGCAAATCTAAATGTAAAGTCAAAACATGCAGTAACATGGAATAGAGAGAGTACTATATATTAATCAGTCTGGAACCTATAAAAAATTCCGGACCACAACATTTTGTTGTATTTTGTGGAAAAAAAATTGCGAGATGATATACTGCAGCGCGGTGGTAATATTAGCTCCACCTAAATATGGTTGTAGAGCATCTTCAACATCCCTTTTAAAATTTACTGTTTAAATCATAATTTATAGTGTCATTTGAGTAAAAGTCGCTTTCTATATCTTTATATCCTCCAACATTTTTTCTATATGTGCGTACTCTAGAGAGTTATTCTCGCTCTCAATCTTTGGCTAGCGAGAAATTTAGAATAGATGATGTCTATATATTTGGAGATCCAAAGAGTCTGTTGGAGACTATTGTTTCATCAAAATCTTTATTTCTATAAATTAAGAAGAATATAAAGAGTCTCTCGGAGTTACTTTTAAACCAAACAATCATTAGGCCTTTTTAGTGGGCTTGTGTTTTGTTTCATTTGTGTCACAATGTACTTCTTTTGTTTATATAAGTATAGTACCCCTCTATCAAAAAATGGAAATATGGCCTCCTAATAAGTCTAACACAAGTTTGACTCAATTAATAAAAAAAGTATAAACATTTGTGTCTTTAAATAGGTTATTACAAAAAATAAATTTCATCATTAATCTTGTGATATTTATCGTGTCTCACAAATATTGACTAACAAAAAAAAGATTCTAGAAGACAAGGCTCTTGATTTTTAGAGACCGGCTAACTGAGAGTCCATTTTCTAAAATGTCAGGCCATCATAAGAAACCGTGTCTCCATCCCTCGTCTCTGTAAATTAACTAAAATGTCTAGCAGTCATAAGAGACTGTGGTCCCATTTATGGAGACACCCTCATCTCTGTAACCTCTGGTATTCATCATAGTATCTCCTTAGAATATCATGTTTACATTCATATAGGCCGATCAATTGATTAATAACTAACCGTGAATTTCCAAATACTTCAATTGACTCGGCCTTTACTTCATGAAGAAGTTGAAGTCCCTTCATGAAGAAGTTGAAGTCCCTTAAGAATAGCTTCATATTCTGCTTGATTGTTGGCAGCCATTGGTTTAATTGGAAAAGCAAACTCAAAACTTGCACCTCGAGGTGAAACAATAACAATACCAATGCCACCACCTTACTTGCATGATGATCCATCAAAGAACAATGTCCAAGGTATCAGTTCAACATAGCCAATACTTGGTTTATGATGCTCAGTAATAAAATCGGCTATTACTTGCCCCTTGACTGTTTTAGCCGATTCGTACCCCAAGTCAAATTCTGATAATGTAAGAATCCACTTTCACATTCTCCCATTTAATATTGGCATTGATAACATGTGCTTGATCACATCAGCCTTAGATACAACTATATACTCAGCCGATAACAAGTAATATTATAGCTTATTGCAAGAGAAATATAAGCATAAGCATAACTTTTCAATAGAAGAATATCTTGTTTCTTGATCTAAAAGCCTTCTATTTAAATAGAAAACAACTTGTTCTTTTCCCTCAAACTCTTGTATTAAGGTCGATCCAATTGTTTGGCTATCGACCGACACGTACAACTTAAAAGGCTTACCTTGCTGAGGAGCGACCAGCACAGGTGGACTCTTCATATACTCTTTTATCTCCTCGAACGCCTTTTGTTGTATGTCTTCCCATTTAAATTCTTGATCATTTTTAACTACAACAAAGGAGAAAATGGCAGAACTCTTTCTGATAAATTTGAAATAAACCTTCTGATAAAATTAATCTTACCAAGCAAAGATTGTAACTCTGTTTTAGTAGTAGGGGGTACTGCATCATTAATTGCTTTCATATACTTTTTTGACCAATTTCAATTCCTCTCTCGTGGACCATAAAACCCAAACATTGTCCAGCTGATACTCCAAACGCACACTTATTAGGATTCATCTTTAAACCATATTTTTTATGCATTTCAAAGTCTCCCGCAAATCAGCTAGATGTTCTTTGTACCTTTTGGATTTTACTACCACATCGTCAATGTAGATTTCAACAATCCCGCCAATCAACTTATGAAAAATATAGTTCATTGTCCTCTGATAAGTTGCACCAGCATTTTTCAAACCAAAAGTCATCACAACCCATTCAAATAAGCTGATTGCGCCAGGGTACCTAAAAGCTGTTTTTGCTATGTCTTCCTCAGCTACAAAAATTTAATTATATCCTGCATTGTAGTCCATAAAACTAATAACCTTATGTCCGGTTGCTACATCTACCAACATATCGGCTATTGGCATTGGATAACCATCCATGGGTGTAACCTTGTTCAGATCTCTGAAATCGACGCAAACTCTTTAACTTCCCATTTTTCTTATACACGGGAACAACACTCAATATCCACTCTGCATAACGGCACGGTCGGATAAATTTTGCTTCTAGTAATCTTTCAGTCTCCTTTCTGATATCATCAAGAACATTTGGGTTAAATCTCCTCGGAGCTTGTTTAAATGGCCAATATTTAGGTTTGATTGGCAACCGATGTTCAACAATTGATTGATCTAAACCAGGCATCTCATTATATTTCCAAGCAAAATAATCTTTAAATTCCTTTAATAAATCTATCAACTCTCGCTTATACTCAGGATCCAACTTAGCGAACAGGGCCTGTCGGTAGAAACTAATAATCTTTTAAGCCGAACAAACCCAAACGAACATGGCGATTGCTGCGATCTTTTGACAACATTCGCCTGAAGCATCAGATCAGGGAAACTGTTGATTAATTTAAATTCTCATGTAATCAAAACGACAAGGTCAATTATCGCGAACTGAGCGTAGGTTACTTGTGGAACCTATCCACCGAGTTCGAGCCCCATACTCAGCATGGGTACTCCTATTTTCAGCTAATATTCTTTTAGTGATGGACGTCGTGCCCATTGAGTTAAAAAATTCGTACCCACTGAGTGGAAATTTTTATCTCACTCACCGTTGCTGATGCCAATAAGGAAAGAGACGGAGGAAAACAAAGAAGAGAGATTGGATTAGCAAATGGTTGATTGTAGCAAAAGCACATACTATTCTGCCTTTCCAGATGACTGATCGACCTGGTCGTAACTATATAGCGATCGAGAAACTAAGACACGCACAGACTATTCTGCCTCCAGGCCCGTCGCCCCCGGCTCGGTTGCTAGCTTGCAATTAATGTTGCGCTGTCTGGCCAGCTCACGATTAAGCAAGAGATGGAGAGGGGAAATTCACACACCACTTGATTGTAGCGCGTTGGCTGGCTGCACTGAGTACTGTTGACTCAGCAAACAAGTGAAAAACCTAGTATTAGCTTATTCCCCGCGACTTCATTAATTTCGACTGCATCATCACCTGTTCAGGTATGGAGTAGTCAACCACGAAATTTCCGCTGCAGGAGGGACTCATCACACCTAACTAATTAACCCACGAAAGCTTTCCAGATGATACTAGCTAGGTTTCCAGAATAGTCAACCACGAAATGACCAGCCAAGAAATTTCTATAGTAGTATACTATTCTGCCTTTCCAGATGACTGATCGACCTTCGAGAAACTAAGACACGCACGTACTATTCTGCGTCCAGGCCCGTCGTCCCCCGGCCCGGTTGCTAGCTTCCAATTAATATTGCATTGTAGCGATCGAGAAATTAAGACAGGCACAAACTATTCTGCGTCCAGGCCCGTCGCCCCGCGGCCCAGTTGAATATTGCGTTGCGTTGGCTGGCTGCACTGAGTACAGTTGACTCAGCAAACAAGTGAAAAACCTAGTATTAGCTTGTTTCCCGCGACTTCATTAATTTCGACTACATCATCACCGGTTCAAGTATGGAGTAGTCAACCACGAAATTCCCGCTGCAGGAGGGACTCATCACACCTATACCTAATAACTAACCCACGAAAGCTAGATAGATAATGACCAGCCAAGAAATTTCTGCCGTGCGCATTTTCTCCGCCATATATGTACTACCTCCATTTATAAATTTATATATGACGTTTAGGACAAGTTATTTAGTTAAAAAATAAACTAATTTGGTTGTCCTAAACGTCATATATTTGCGAATGGAGGGAGTCTAGACGCCATGGTTTCTGATGAAACTACTTAGACCAACCAAACCGTCTCGCACACGTTCTTCTTGTACTAGTACCGTCTATATATATGCATGTCGAGCAGCTAGCCTCCTCCAAGGTTGTAAGTAAATCGATCACCACCCTAAAAGCTCTTTAACTCAGGCAATACATACACAAAATCTAGGTCGTTTCGATCAGCCTCCCCAGGGACTATGAGCGGCGATGAAGGTAAGCTAGCTAAACACCGCGCTTATAATTACATGCATACATTCCGTTCCCCTAGCGCCTATGGCGTGCTCTAGCTACATCTCTGCATGCCTGTGGTTGGATGGCTGCTTTACCTGGTTGATTGAGGGAAGACGAGTAGAAGAGGAAGCCGATTCATTAATTGTATATATGCGTGGGGTATATTTTTTGTTTTGATGAGCCGACAGGCAAACGGGGATACGATGCATAGGGCCGGGAAGAAGGATTATTAGGAGGCCGGAATTTATTTCCCGCCCAAACTGCTTGTTCGTCTCCCTGTCACGTATTGTCTGATTCATCTGTAAAGGTAGGGCTGCTCACACTCTACCTCAATTTTCTAAAGGCAGAGTTGCTCATAATAATTGTAGGAAGAGATGTAGGGTGAAGAGTGGTGGCCACGGCACCATCTATACCTTTTTCGGTACTATTGCCAATGCATTGCCACAATCAGAAAAGAAAAAGAAAAAGGCATTTGATGAGTATTGTGGCATAGTCCAACAATTGAATTTTGGCTGGTTGAGTCAACCGATCCAACGGCTCATCTCCTCTTTCCC